ACTTTAGGCAAAAATATACACCCTCAGAATTGGAGCTCATAATAAGGTGCAATATTTATGGGACACCCTATACAGGATGGCGAAATATTCAAATTACGTGCACCAAAAAATACGTCCGAACTTATTCCTTGTCCTCGAAAATGAGCAGGTCTTTGTCAGAACTTGGAAAACAAATGTTTTCTCCTGCAAACCAATAATTAGCAATAGACAAACAATTTGAGAAGAAAAAGCACACATGCATTTCTCATACAATGTTTCAAACGAAGCGAAAAGTCGCGCGCACGTGATTTTTCGCCACCCTGTATATATGAAAGGTTGTAGTGGCAAAATGATAACGGCCATATCAAGGGTTCTGCCGAAAAGAAGAATAGGCTCCAGTAGGCAGTATCAGTTCAGCTTCTCGACTTCTAAAAAAACTTACGAGTTTATGAAGAAAACAATTCCCATCAAACATGCCTCTGTAAGTGCCCTTTCCAGCATGCGTCTCACTCAAGCATGAAACAAATCACTGAGCATGGAAGAGGAGGTTTTGAATTACACGGCGTGTGAGGGTAAGGATTCACAACCCATGTTCGTGATCAGGGTGAACATCGGTCGAGGATTCCTCAACGGCACGTCGAGGATTTTCGCCTGATCAGTTACGTTCTCCCGCGCGGACATTCACACTCGCCATGCGCGAGCCGTCTGTGCTCTCCGCGCGTATGTTCACTCTCGGCACTACTCTCGCATGGTAGAGAGCTATGGTCGAGGAATTCCTCGACCGTTATTCACCCTGCTTGTGTAAGCTGCGCCACGTTCCACAGCACCTCCGCTCCTTTATTCATCGAAGCTCCTGCAAATGTGGGACGATGTGCGTTTCGTAGCGAATAGTATGCCCCGTGTAGCCTGACAGGGCCGTGTCCGCACCGCTCGCACAGCTGCACGCCCACCGATGGGTAACCCCTGGCCGTCGGACTCGAGCCATTCAGCTAAGAGACCATTAGCGCCAATGAGGGTAACACCGACCAGACTTCATCAATGCGAAAATCAAGGAGCATAGAAGGGATCCCATTAATCGAGTTCTCTTAGTTTTCTCTTTATCTCTCTGACCGCTTCACCTTTATCTATACTGGAGTGCTCTCAAATCTAAACACCGCCTTTAGCTAATTGACTACAGGAAGTGCTACGCAATCCATGAAAGATAGTACAGTCTTATTCTGAGCAAAAGTTTCAAGCAAGTAGCCTATTGCCCTTGGATGCTAACATATAGAGCACACTTTTTGCAATAATGCCCTCAAACGTAACTTTTTATTGACACATCTTCAAAATATTTGTTGTCATAGTTGAGCTACTGACAAGGTAAGTTCTATGAACTTCCGTTTTTCTGAGTCTACTGACTGTGAGGACGCCGCTGTGTGTCCAGATATTATATGTGATTAATGGGCATTATGATTTCCATTAAATTTTACACTACACTTATATGATAAGTGCTCCGTGCGTACATGCAGCAGATATCGAGATATATAATATATAAGCACCATGCAATCGTGTTAATTAGTTTAGTGTTTTTGTGGAAAGTTTCCCTCTTCAAGTGAAAGGAGTGAATAAAAGAGAACACGTCAAAACCGATAAGCTCAAAAGACTTTGCCTTGGAAGTGAATTCCAGGAAGAACGCTGAATCAGTAAATGTAGGCAAATGAAAAATTACTGTGCCGATTGGTTGAGCATTGAACCCGCAGAAGTGTTCACTAATCAGGGAAGCTCACTAGGCCGAGATGCGACACTCTGCGACAAATGATAGACATGGAAGGTCAACTACGACTGCACGTACTGAGTACAAAGACCAAACCGGAACAGTGACCGTCTCTCTTCATATAGCCCACCTGAATCACTCAAGGTCCTGGTGAAATATGAGACGTTCCGGACTTGAACGCTTAAGTTTTCGGGTAATGAAAAAGTCGCTTGTTCGCCAAACAAGAGTGGAGGGACGATTTGATTCGCGGTCAGGAAAATCTAAAGAGAGCAGGTTTTTCAGGAAAACAATCTTCCACTTAGCACTACAGCGACTAGTTGACCTGAGATCAATGGAAATAGTCGGAATTAACTGAAATAAAATTAACTTAAGGTGGGCTAGAAGACAGCTTGATGAAGCTTGGCATTTCGTTCGTTGAAGCTGTTTTCAAGGTGCACTTAGTGATCCAACGGGGATGATTCTTGCGCGGAAACGAAAGCAGTGGTACGACGTTAACCAGTATTGAATAAAGAAAGAGAAAATCATCAAAATGCTTACATTGAGGGTTCACCCATATTTATGACTTGGCTATTAGAGTGCAACGAGAGCTGCTGAATACGGAAAAGAGAGGCTAAGCGGAAGGCAGTTTCTACAGGAGGTGAAAGCTATGAAGGACTGGTGTCATGCTATTGTTTCCTATTTCATATCCACGAAAGAGTGGGAAAGAGCGGCTAAGCGACGGTCGGGAGGGCTGCAAATGCTTGTACATAAGTTGTGAATAAGGATGAATGAAACGGTCAGACCCTCGTTTTTTTTCGCAAGTTCCAGCAGTTACTAGAGGACATTTTCTGAACAGAAGGAATGGTTTACTAGTGAATCATGAGGTGCACATCCAAGGGAACACGAGGACGTGTGAAAAATTAAAATAGTCGGGGGCGAAAATGTTGAGAGCGAGTAATTGGAGCGATCATTCCAGTCTTCACTCATAAAGAACCGGAGCAGTAGGCAATGGAATTTTGTTATTTGTATTGTAGAGCAGTTTGCTGTACGTCCTAAATAAGACCACGACTTGATTTTATGTCATATAAAACAGTTTTTGAAATATGACCTTCTCAAGTGATTACTAACTGATGAAAAATGAACAGTGTAGTATGTGCACTGAACTCGTCAACACGACGATGCACAAAAACTGGCATCTCGTAGTTGACCCGTACGATCATTCGCACATAATGTTGCTGCTGTATTCACATCACCGCCGTATGCGCTTACTCAGTTGATTTTGTTAAAATGTTTTGCAAAAAAAAACTCGCCAGAGAGCCATTGTGGAGCGGAAGGATAGGGTGAGCCTAAAACCGTACGTCTACAGCTAAAATGGAAGCATACTTCTGCATGGGATTTGAAGTCAAAAAAACTCAAAAGTGTAGATTTCATGTTCGGTGTTCCTAGAGTCTGTGCATGTTGCATATTCCGTGTTGTTGTTGCTAAGCCATACAGGTTGTTACGGTGGAATAGATTTATTCGGTCGACGTTTCGAACAATTCGTCGTCTTCAGGACCTTACTGCTACTCCACTAGCGCCACGCAACCATTTATGTCGGTAGACATTGAAAAGTTATTTTTCATCATGCTAAGAGATATTTTTCACTGTCTACCGAAATTGAGTGGCTGCGTGGCGCTTCTAGAGTAGCATATCCTGAAGACGAGGAATTGTCCGAAACGTCGAGCGAATAAATTTATTCCACCGTAACAACCGCTATGGCATAGCAACAACAGCACGGCTCAAAAGGGTCTTGGTTTTTGTTTGGATCTGCTATTTTAACGCTGTAGTTCACGCTGCAAAGTTGAGTTATGGGGAAATCCTCCGCCTCTAGCAACAATCGAACCCGCCCCTCTAGCTTACTGGGCTATTGTGCCACCATTTACACCGGTGGAGCTCCACTTCACCCCAAAAAACTTCACTAGTATAGCACTCACGCTTCTTATGCCGATTATTTTTGTTCATTAGCTTCTTCGCCGTGATGTTATTCTTCATCGGCACTTCAATTTTCAACGTGGCGAAAAAAGCAAATCTGCGGTAACTAAGACATTGTACACTCAAAAGCGGTACTCAGAAACTCGCAAGAGATTCATTTATGTATTTGCAGGTTGACATTCACCTGTAACCAGAGCTTTTGAAATGCGACCATCCACTGTCGTTCAAGATGCCTGCTTGTAATTAACTGTGTATGGCGCGATCGTTTACAGTAATTATGAGGCCAGAGCAAGTGAGTGTTGAGTCTTTGTCCTCAGTGGATTATCTAAAAGTATTGGGCTTTGGAAGACACAGGAGGTCCACAAAGGCGACGTTTTCAGTCAATGCACAATTATCTCCTTTGATCCAACGTGACATGAGCACATTGATCCACTGACTGGAATTCTGTAACTTTGGGCTAGTTTGGACTGTTTTTTTTTGTGCCGGATTCCCATTTTTCTTCACACATCTAATTCCTCCTTCTGCTCGCTTAAACTTCAAAGGCTATTATCTCATAGTGTACACACCACAAAGATAGTAGAAAAGTATGTCGCTATCATAAGTCACAAGCCTGACACTAGCAATTATTTGGCACAAAGTTTGCCAACTATCGGATTTCAGTACCACTCGTTCACCCTCGCGCTCAGCTCTAATGGCAAGCAGAATCGAGCCGCGTTTGCCGAATCGGCAATGCTCTCAGAATCTTCACGACCACTCCCACCTCCGCTTGTGGGAGTCCCACGTGACTTTCCCTCTCTATGCTCACCATCATAGCTTCTCTATGTGTAGTATTTCATTCCGAGATCAACTCTAGCACAGTTCTCATGCTCTTATCCAGTTGGTCTTCACGTGATTTTGACTCCGACTTGTAGAGTGGCTACAGTGTGCTCACTGCTATCTCATGCATCAAGAACAGCTATCGCAATGTGAACATCCCATAAAAATGGTAAGGCCAAGCCAAATTGCTCCTTGATTTCATTAGAAATGGATTGGCCCTACCACACCTATCATTACAACCATGGAGCATTTTGCGGACGTCTGACCGACCGACAGGCCTACACACAGGCTATACCGACAGGCTTCGTAGGCCTAGGCCTACGAAGAAGGCGACCGACCTATACTAAAAAGCCACGCAAGCCTGACTTCTTGCGATGTGTATAGGAAAGCTATAAACTATGCAACGAACACTCACTTCAACAAATAATACGTCTTTCATTGACACCTCAGTGAATTGTACGGCTCAAAAAAGTGAAAATTTCAGAAAAGTTGCACTATGGATTCATTGAATTTTCATTTTCTCGCTTGGAAGACATTTTCGGATACCTAAGTAAAACAAACAGAACACAAGGCCTATAATAAATGAAAAGATGGCACAGAGAATCGCTAATAAGTCAAGATTGTAATAAACTATGAATCCGAGTTTTCGACCGACGACTTTGAACTCTTGCAAGTCTCCAAACTGAGCGGCCAACTCCACTGTTCTGATAAGTTTTTGCTTTGGAGTGAATGGTCGCTGAGATAAAAGGTTTCTCATGCGATGGGCAGCTGATCGATATCTGAATTGAAACCAATCATCCAGACAATTTTGAACAGTCAATCTATTAGCTGTACTAAAAAATTTACCTCTCACCTGGAATCATTCATCACCAAGTTCAGGGACTCGTTGAATACGTTTCCATGAAGGAGGTGCGCCTTGTCCACAACGACACCTTGAAAAATTGTGCTTCACATTCAATACAATAATTATTGCGGAGCATGTTTTTGATGATTTTAAAGGAGGATTGCACGGAAAGAACGAAGGTCGAAGAAGGGAGAAATCGCCTAGTGGGGAGAGCGGTGAATCTCTTGAGGGTGCGGACAGACACGCAATCGGCATCGAAAGATTTGACCTCGGCGACCTAGCATGGCTCAAAGTTGGCGGGTCGGCGATCTCCGCCCACCGATCATCTGATCACTCGCCGTAGTTCAATACGTGGCGAGTGATTAGATAGCTGAGAGAGCGTAGTGTTGAAGAGGGCACAGCGATGAGAGTCGCATCAATGCTCAAATCAACGGGCAAGGAAGGGGTCCCATTTCTCGGGTTCTGGGCCGTTTCTCATGGTTTCGCCTTCTTTCTGTGTACCACTCACCATCTCTACCTTAATTTGAATGGGTTGCTTTTCCATCGTAAATTCGTCCTTTAAATCTGAAATATCATGGCAGACCCGTTGATATGTACACGGTGGGCATACATGTGGTGATGGTTGAACTTCAAGATACACAGTCACGCAACATTGAATAGGGGCTATGACCAAATCTCCGGTCTCGATAAGTCTTCAAAATACATACCTACCCTTTCATGATTTATTCTCTTTAGCTGATGAATAACTCCAGTTCATCAGAAACGAACAAGATTTCTATTCTCACAAGCCGCTATCGAATTCATTCCAAAATCTGCTGTACGCAAAGCGTGCGTCAAAGGTTGCCAACCGATTCTGGTTCGAAGTACACTTAGTGGTCCACATCGTAAAGGGCGACCGGGTCACAAGCCATCGGAGTTTTGTGAATGTTGTTCGAAAGGGTATCTAAGGTAATTCAACGGGTTCTGTCAAAATGGGCTAGTATCGGTAGTATCACGATAAACGAAGTAGGAAGATGTGCTCAATAAGATCGGAAAACAACCTCATAAATATCACAAACTGCACACTCTTTCAGATGGGCAGAGGGAATATGCTGCCACGCGGTTTCTTCGAGACAGTAGTTTGAATCCTATTGTATGGATCAAGGGGACAATGTGCAGGAATGGGAAGCTCCGGAACTCCGGAACTCAAGGAATCATAGCTCCTTATATATGAGTAGAGAATGATTATGATACATTTCCTTAGCTAGATCAACCGAGAGATTAGCTTTTCTTCAAGCTAAAATGATTCAGAGAATTCAAGGAAATTTTCAAGAAATGGAACAACAAAATGGAATACATAGATACGTAAAAGGTATAATTTAGCTACAGTAGAGGGGATTCTCATAGAAAGTCTTCTGAATACCCCCGGTTACTTGTGCTTGGGCGGTGAATCGTGACTGCTTCGACGTGGGGTCTCCTTACTTTTTGGAAGTGATCCGCGGCTGCTTCGTGGTGGCATGCCCAAGCGACTTTTTTGAGGCAACCCGCGGCTGCTTTGACGTGAAGTATCCATGGAGTTCTACGAGATTCGCTTCTAGTTGGTGCGTTTGTCCACTCAGCCAGCATCAACTTCAAATCTCTCACCTTCTGCTTTAATTTCATCTCTTCGTCAATGAGCTGATGCTTCTCCCTTTAAAGCGCATCGACTTGTTCGCCTTTCAGGTGAGGCCTCCCTGCCTTTTGTTCTTCCTCAATTTTATGCCTGATTGGGAAGACCGCGTGGTTCACGGGTTCTGATTGGTACGTATCGCATCACGAATTTACCTGTCGTTTTTGGGATCAAAGTCTATTGCAGCTTGAGATGGTATTGTAAGTTGCGGCTCTACTCTAGACTGTCATCGATTTTGAAAAGATGCTTATCCTCCAACCCTTCCGGTGACCCCTCTCTATCCATAGACTGTCATCGATTTTGAAAAGATGCTTATCCTCCGAACCCTTCCGGTGACGCCTCTCTATCCATAAGAGTCATAATGGTCGAGAAGATCTTTGGCAAAATTTCAATTTTCCGCTCCATGGCATTCAGCTCAGTGCTGACCTCATCCTTGAGCTCATCGAATTGGTATTAGCGTTGACAAATTCCAACAGAGGCGTTCAGCAACTGATTTTCAAGATGGCAGAACTTGCGTTTTGGAGTTCTTGGTCGACTCCATCTATTCTTATGACCATGGCCAGTTTCGCGGCTTCGACGTGAGCCTCTTTTGCGAAGTCTTCGTTCCCTGATTTGAGGCCTTTCAACGACTTGCGTAGCGCTTCTACCGTAACAGCCTTGACGTTAGCTTCGACGAATTCGTGGTGTGCCTGTAGAGCTTCTTTCCATACTCGACGTCTCCTTGCAAGGGCTCTTCGAGTTGAGCTTCACGGCGCTGCATCGTCGACTCGTCACTCTTCTTCAGAAATTCGACCTGCTTCTGCTCTGTTGGGAGGCAGCGGATTCTCGTGGGCAAGAATTTTAGGTCGTACTGTGATGTGAAAGCTGCAGCTTCTTGCTCGAAGGTTTTCTCGATTCTTGATTAGTAGCCAATATTTCTTCAGCATCTTTCTTCTTTTGGGTTGCGTCTTCGAACCACCGCCTTCCTCTGTTGCTTCAGCTGGGCTTCTGCGGACGTCTGATCGGAACTCATGCTGCGTAGCAAGAATAAGTTGCAATGCTCCCGCCTCTGCTTTTATACCGAGCACGTTTTGTTATGAGACGGCAGGGGAGATAATAGTGAGAATAGTAAGTCTTTAGTAGGTAATAGATAATAGTAGATAATAGTAAGTCTTTTGTATAAATTGATGATCCCCATTGCAATCAAGTTGTCTTTTTTTTTAATTTTTAGTTTATTTCTATGTGAAAGGATATCCGGCTACTAGGGCCACGAGGAAATAAGCAGCAACTGTTTTGTTTCTTTGAAAATCTCCAATTCTGTATTGTTGTGTGACCGAACCACTGAGAGGATGGTTTTTAAGCCCCATATTTCTCCATCTGGTAGCTGTTGTTTCTTCCTGAAGGCCTGGCGCTGAATCGACTCCGTGAATTTCGATAGTATTTGCTTTTGGAGAACAGCGCTGTCAACCAGTTCTCCCTTCAGTTCCATCTGATTCACTATTGACGACAGATTTCACATAATTTCCTTTGGTCCTCTATCCTTTTGCTCCTTTGCCTTCGCTTTTTCGAGCCTCTCTATGAGTTCTCTTATGAGAAGTTGTGCATTTCCATACTTTTTCTTCAGATGCTCCACTGCCACTGGCGTACGTTCTTCCGCTGATTTTAAACTGTTTCAACGACTCTCTCGCTTCTCCGCACAGTACGTCAGGCGAGTAATTCATCATGTAGGCAACCTGCAAATCCCTGTAATAAATGGAGTAGTTGAAGGCGCTCCAAAACTCTAGCATTCCCATACCTTCCTGTTGAATTTCACTACCGGTACTGGCGCGAGCTTTATCCGTAATGCTTATTCGTCTGATAATGGAAACTGTTGCCTCAAACAGCCAACGTCGTTTGCGCTCCTTACATCAGTTCTTGTACGCCCTTCTGTGAATCTTCTTCCCTGTCTCTCTCAGGATAGGCTTTGAGTTGAGGAGTCTCATCTTCGAGTTAATCCGCAGCATTCGTGTAGACAGTCGGCGCATTGTCGACATTTCTTCACTCATTTCGAAGCTCTTCCTAAATCTTTTTAGTGGGATATTTTCATCCAAATGTATTTCTTCCTGTCGTCTTCGTCTTGAAGCATGGTGATGGGTTGATCTAGATCTGCTATGAATTCTTGAAACACATCAGAGTTTCGTTGTCGTTTTCGTTGATGGTCCCATCCTCTCTGTTAGTGACGATGTCGTTGTCGCTGTATGTTTTCCAATAGCAGTTAATCTTCTTCTCTAGCCTCTTCGCTTCCACTGCGAATCTCCTTGAACTTCTTCAGATCGGCTTGTCGAACGGCTTCGTTGTCCTGGATCAGCCGATGCACCACATGCTGTCATGCGGTTTCTTCGGGACAGTAGCTTGGGTACAACGTAAGTCGGGTACCATATCTTCGCTCAAGGATGAATTGAGTCTTGATGACTGCGACTCTTTCTTTTCTGCTGGCTTTTGTTGATGCAAAAGTAGAAGCTTATGCCATTCTACCATACATGACACTGCTATCCAAGCCTAGAATTCCAAGGAAAACTGTAAACAACTGAACAAACAATTCAAATAGTGTGAAACATCAACAGTAGATTCGTTTGTAGGAAGGTCCATAAGCGGCCATATTGAACAGGTATTAGTTGTTGGCTCAAATATGACTAAACGCAGCTATAGTTGATTTGTTGTTTCGAGTTTTCTTACCCACTGGACTGCTGTACCTGTCACCATTTATGCACCACCCATGTAGAAACTGCATGTGTGTTTCTTTACTATAGAGCTAACAAAAATTGTTAAGTTGCTTACCAATACCAAACTTTTCTATCAATTTCGCGTTTCTCAGTTGGTCTGCGAACAACGGTATCACGACGAGTGGTTTCCCGAATGTTGCACTTTCCATCATGCTTCCAGCACCGCAATGAGTAACAAAAACGGTTAATCGATCATCGGCTGAAAACAATAGTAGATATTGAGCATCCCATAAAATCTAAACAATAGGCATTCATAGTCGCAAAGGCAGGTTGGCAAATCCCAGATGTAGCTTCACCTGTACCTCATACTTTTCGATTCTTCAAGACTTGCAAGGCACTCGAGTGCTATGTAGTGTAAAACTCTTACACTCAAACACTCGAGCATCCTTCGAATCATGGGGAAATCCTTTGTTTATGCGCGTTATGGGAATAAGAAGCAACCCAGGAGATTAAAGAGCACGGCAAAATTTTGAGAAAAATTATCAAAACCTTGCTATGCCTAGAAGAAGAGATATCGAAATAAATTCCAATCGAAATGCAGGTGACCAACGAACAAATTATATTATACCAGTTTTGCTAAGCCCGCTATCGCGCGCATGTCAACATAGGCTTCTGTGAAACAGAGTATAGCCGGGCTGTTGTATTGAGAAACATACTGCTTTCAATTGAGGAAAGCAGATGATAAAGCAGTAATTTCTCATAGCTCGAATACCAATGAACATCCATCATTTTTCTAGAATCAACAAAGTCTAGCAGCCGAATGACCTTTAAATAACTGTGTTTGTATTTGTACTTGTATTTGTTTATTACACAGATAATTCTGTGTGTGATTGCAAAAAAAAAAAAAACGAGAAAACATACAACAAAACAACCGTAGCAGAAACAACGTGCGAACCAACATAAACAGTGGAGAACATCGTGACACAGCGTATGAACGAGAAGCAAAGACTATGATGTAAGATGCTTGTTTAAAGCGGCTTTGAATGAGTTGAATTTGTTGGTAGATACCCCCATTCTGACCAGCCTCTCGAACTCCAGAGAGGTCCTGTTAACGAAGAAATGGTGCCTGACGTTGCGTTTAGCCCTGCGAGTCACTACTTTCATTGAACTACCCCTCGTCCTTGACTCCCGGAATGCAAACAAGGTGTTGGGCCTGAGACCAGTTTTAAAATGAAGGATCTTAAAAAATGTCAAGAGGTCGAATTTTTTCCTCCTAAGCGCAAGTGACTCAAGACCGAGGTTGAGATTACGTACGTCACTGTTCGGTATATTGTCATATCTGAACCCAACAGTTCTCATAAAAACCTTTCTCGTGAAACTATTTTGAACTTTTTCCAGAGCTTTCGCAGTTTTTATCTTGTGAGGGTTAAAAACTACAGTCCCATACTCTAGTATGGGCCTGATATATATTTTATAAGCACTGCATAGAACACGTGGGTCTTTCGTCAAGAAAGATCGAAATAAATTATACATTACAATCGTTGCTTTTGAGGCGATTACAGAGCAATGTTCTTCAAAAGCTGAGATCACTTCTTAAGAGGAAACCAAGGTCTTTCATTTTCTTCACCACCTCCAAGTGAACCCCTCCGATTGATCCACAGGGGTTTTCCCAATCTGTAACATCTTGGTCTTCTCCTTAGATAAGGGCAATTCCCATTGCATAGCCAATTATGGACATCATTTATTAGCGGCCCTGTACGCATTCTTTAGTCAATGAGCCGGATGGAACTGAGTTGGTATATTTGAAGTCTTTTTTTTGCTATCCTTTGAAAGTATTCTTGAAGTCTTCGAAGGCGCAAACACATTTAACCGCTTTAGCAACTGACCAACGAGGAACTGAAAGGTCGTGTTAAGAGCGACGGTGATGGACACACCCTTGTGGCACTCCGGTCTGTCACTGGTAAAACAAGGAACCCTGTAACTTCAAAATACTAGGCTGCCTTATTATCACCCTCACAGTATAACATCTACATGCTTGGATTGGGATAGTTTAGCGGTCTAATGACTTCCTTTACAGGTGTTGCGATAGAATTACCAATTTATCGCACATATTCCCACAACATCGACTATCTTAGGAAGCTTGAGCAGATTAGCGGTCGAATGAAGAAAAGAAATGTTTCTTGTCCTACATCTGGATAAGAACTTCAGTACTTTTGCTTTGTATCGCTCGTTATCACGTTCTGGCCCCATCAAAGATGTTCCCTTCCACCTTCTATATCATATCTGCAAAAAACCAACTCCTGACGAGCTGCTGTGCCCGAGCTATGAATTTCGCGACACTTGCGTTCTAGCGCCTTTTATCAGCCCTTATCAGTTGTGATCACTTTCTTACCCCACCAAATATGTTCCCGTCCCACCCCCTATATCATATCTTGAAACCAACTCCTGACGACCACTGGTGCCCGAGCTATGAATTTCCGGTCAGACAGACAAACACATACACACACACACACACACACACAACCGCTTAGCCGATTATATATAGTAGGATCAAACTACTTCGACCATCACATAACACATGAGAATGCCTACGCCCTGCAGGGAATCATCCTTCCACACATTCCTACAGCCACGTGGCAAATTTCCGAGGCAAGCCTTCCGCAATGGTTGAAATCTTGCATGTATGCCCTACGATATATAAAACGTATGTACCCTCGCCTTCAAATAACCAGAAATTGTGCAATTGCAGAAATTGACGTGGCATTGACGTGGCATCGATTCAAGAACATCTTTGAGCACACGTGATGTCACCTTTTCATCGAGAATTTAGCCACGTGTGCCACGTGGATTTCTGGCTGCATGAAACAGAGGTTATGTTGTGTGTGTGTGTGTGTGTGTGTGTGTGTGTGTGTGTGTTGTGTGTGTGTGTGTGTGTGTGTGTGTGTGTGTGTGTGTGTGTGTGTGTGTGTGTGTGTGTGTGTGTGTGTGTGTGTGTGTGTGTGTGTGTGTGTGTGTGTGTGTGTCACGAAATTCATAGCACGCGTCGCAGCAGTCGTTAGGAGCTGATTTTTTAGGGGGTGGGACGGGAACATATTTGGTGGGGGTCACAAAGTGATAACGACTGATAAGAGCAGATAAGAGGCGCTGAAACACAAATTTCACGAAATTCATAGTGCGCTTCGCAGCAGTCGTCAGGAGCTGATTTTGGGACATGATATAGGGGTGGGACGGGAAACATATTTGGTGGGGGTCAAAAGTGATAACGACTGATGAGGACTGATAATAACGATATGCGTACGAACGTAGAGATCACTCGAAACCAGATTGCAGATAATGCATTTCATTTCAATATCATTTCATTAGCGTTGTAATTGTAAACTCAAACACCTTTCGACCGCTACACCTTCTAGAGTTCTTGAGGATGAATGGGATGCTAATAAATTTGATAGTGAATACTGGGCATTCCGTTTGAGATTACCAAAAATTATTCGACCGCTAAATTTCCTCGATACTCGATGCATGGTGGTTGTTTACATACATCACTTTAGCTGTGCACTTCACTGCGCTTATCAAACAGTGAGATACAGCCTATGCAACGGACAGTAATCCTACTATATATAAGCGGCTAGCGTGTGTCTGTTGGTGTGTGTGTGTGTGTGTGTGTGTGTGTTTGACCGGAAATTCATAGCTCGAGTCACAGTAACGATAGCGCAGTGGTTCTTACATATGTTATAGGGGGTGGGATGGGGACACAAGTGGTACGTGATAGGAACTGATAACGACTGATAATAGCTGATAAGAGGGGCTAGAAAGCGAGCATCGCCAATTTCGTTTTGCCGTTCATATTGGTACTAGAGCGTCTATACTTACAAGTGTTATGTGGGGCGGTCCCGGGACATTGGTGGTACATGAATGGAAGCGATAGCAACTGATAAGGGCTGATAAGGGGCGTCAGAACGCAAAAGTCGTCGATTCCGTTACCTGGCTCGCGTTGACACCAGAGCAACCATACTTACAAGTGTTATGTGGGGTGGGACGGGGACATTGTTGGTGGGTGATTGAAAGTGATTACAACTGATAAGGGCTGATAAGGGGCGTCAGAACGCAAAAGTCGTCGATTCCGTTACCTGGCTCGCGTTGACACCAGAGCAACCATACTTACAAGTGTTATGTGGGGTGGGACGGGGACATTGTTGGTGGGTGCCAGAAACTGATAACGATTGATAAGGGCCGATAAGGCGCGCCAGAACGCTGAAGTCGTCGATTCCGTTGCCTGGCTCGCGTTGACACCAGAGCAACCATACTTACAAGTGTTATGTGGGGTGGGACGGGGACATTGTTGGTGGGTGATTGAAAGTGATTGCAACTGATAAGGGGTGATAAGGGGCGTCAGAACGCAAAAGTCGTCAATTCCGTTACCTGGCTCGCATTGACACCAGAGCAACCATGCTCACAGGTGTTATGTGGGGTGGGACGGGGACATTGTTGGTGGGTGATTGAAAGTGGTTACAACTGATAAGGGCTGATAAGGGGCGTCAGAACGCAAAAGTCGTCAATTCCGTTACGCAGCTTACGTTGACACTAGAGCGTGCCTTTACAAATTCTATTTGTAGTGGTACGTGCACATTGTATCGATATGACCAGCGTACCTAATAGATATCGATTGCATGAACGCAAACAAGTCTCAGTAATGATAAGTTTCATTGCTAATGCAATTCGAGAAAGCCCAAACTCATCTAACCGCTAATCCTTTCGGGGTTCTAAATAATGGTGAATGTAAATAAATGATAAGCATTAGCTCCTCACTTATGTAAATAGGCATATTTCGTTTTCCTTTTGACTGACAGCAATCCTATTCACCGCTAAATTGTCCGAATTCACGAAGAATGCTGGATGTTTACAGTTGTGAGATACATACCAGTTCAGCTCCAGACGTTATCACGCGTATATCTCGATGGACTTCAGCGAAACTGGGAAAGGTCTAACACATTCAATAAGTGAGGTGGTTAATGAAGCACCTCATGCTGATATTTCATGAGTCCTCCAGTTTCGCTGCCGTGTGATCGCGCGTTAGCGAAGCGAAGCAAAAATCCTACTATATATAAGCGGCTAGCGTGTGTCTGTTGGTGTGTGTGTATGTTTGAACGGAAATTCATAGCTCGAGTCACAGTAACGATAGCGCAGTGGTTCTTACATATGTTATAGGGGGTGGGATGGGGACACAAGTGGTACGTGATAGGAACTGATAACGACTGATAATAGCTGATAAGAGGGCTAGAAAGCGAGCATCGCCAATTTCGTTTTGTCGTTCATATTGGTAAAGAGCGTCTATACTTACAAGTCTTATGTGGGGCGGTCCCGGGACATTGGTGGTACATGATTGGAAGCGATAGCAACTGATAATGGCTGATAAGATGCGCTAGAACGCAAAAGTCGTCGATTCCG